TATTTATATTTTTCTAAATTATTTAGTTGTCCTTTTAACTTTTTACAATATTATTTATGAATTTAATAAAATAAACTTATTAATTAAAATACTTTTCAATATTTATATTTAATTTTAATATTAAATGAGATTATGATATATATATATAAGGGTAAATTATATATTTAGTCACCAAACTATCACTTTGATTACATTTTAGTCACGTTTGATCCAATAACTTCAATATAAATTTCACCAGTTCAAAACTCTCGGATCAATCCTCAAGCATTGACTTACGAAAATTGGAACGGTACAATATGTATATCAGATTTGTCGTATCATAAGCAATATTATATTTACTCATTGATATGACATAAATAACCACAAACTTTAATCGCATAAAAACATGTTCATTTTTATATGATGTCATATTTACAAGGTAAATTTACTTCGATGAAACTTTAAAGAAAAAGAATTGCAGAAATGAGAGAAGAAGACCTGAGCACATGACGTTTTTCAGAAGACGGCCGAAACACATGATGTCTTCAGACTCTTCATCTTTACCGTTATATTAAACTTGAATGTGCAGCAGAGAGGGGACAGAGAGAGACTGCAACAGTGAAGGAGAAAAGAGAGAGAGAGAGAGAGAAGAGAAGGAGGTTAGCCATGATAGTTCGACCTGAGCTTTAAGACGTTGTTTACTCAAAAACGCCAACTGTTATTGACGTCTTCTAATGATACTGTTCAAAACACCCTACTTAAGTAAATATTTTTTATCTCTTCCCCTATATCAACCATTCTTTTCTTTCAAAATCTCATCAGAGCATTTTTGCCAATTTACAATAATCCTTCCTCTATTGTCGTCTTTTTATGGTTTCAGTTTTTTTTAATCATAATTGAATAAATTAATAAAACTAAAACTATTGAATATAAGTATTACAGAGTTTATATTATTAAAATAATTATATTAATATAAAATTCAAATTAAAATAGTATCAAATAATTTATCAGTCTCGACATAAAAACCAAACAATCAATTCATGACTTAAAATTCAAGGACATTTTTAGAAAAAATAATCAAAACGCACTAATCTTGGTTCAAAAATGGTTAATCAACCACTTTATTGGTATATATAAATAAGAAGAACATACCAATTTTTTTGGGTTAAGTTGAATATACAATAGATGTAATCTTCAATATCAAATTGAAATCCTCCTTAAGAATCACCTACAAAAATCACGATAATTGAAAGAGATCGTGTTGATAACATGTTATAAAAAATGAATTAATAAGAAGAACAAAAAGAAGAGATATGAAAATAAAGAAATAAATTTTATAGTATTATAATCTCGATATGAATTATATGTAATATTATCTATAAACTCTATATTTATAGATATAAGAAATAAATATCATATAAAACTTTAATTCTGATAAATATTAAATCTTTATAATAAAATACCTTAAAATCATATTTAATGCACATAAATAAATATTGATAAGAATATACATGTTTTAAATACACATTTGTATGTTATTATTAGAAGAAGCGTGATTGAAATTCTAAGTTGAGAAAAATCTTGCGGTAGATAATAGTTGGCACTGAAAATTGAGAGATGGGACTCTGACTTAGGAAGAGAAAGAGGCTCCCTTTGATTGATGACGATGACGATGTGGAAATTTGGGGAAGAAATGGGACCTACCCAACTGTAATAAACACGTGCCACTGTCCGGATTGCTGTCGTGGCTCAGTACCATACGTCGAGTACCAGTGTTGCACCATCAGTCCATTTGACCCATTTAGGTCACTGGGCCACCCCCTGAGTGTTACTCTTACCTCTTACATCGCATTGAGTACTTCGGCCGAGTTTATGTTTTCTGATCATATTAAAGTGCATGTACCTCTTTAAGTTCATTGCGACCTAAAATATACGTTTGAATTTTGTACTAATACGTATAACTTTGGATTTTATTTCAATTTTTTATATTTATAAATAAATAATTTAATTCAAACGAGATTTCAATAAAAGTTTGAGTCATTGATTATTAGATTCAAGTTTCATTATATGTAACAGTAAATCTATAGTTTTTTGTCTTTTTTTTTTACGATTTATGTGGTTTGTCTTCTTCTTTATCTTGATTTGTGGTTGGTGACCGTATAAATCTTAGAGATGATGGTAGACTGTTAGTATTCATTGTTTTTCGCTATTCTTTTATATCATATATTTGATTTGATTTTCTTTTAGTTTTTAATAACTCTATTTTTGTGACATATTTTTCTCTACCTTTATGACACGTTTTCGTCTGTCTTTTGGCACGTTTTGGTCTTTTTCATTGATTGTTTGATTGATCACATTGCTTAATTTTGTTAGGGTTGAACAAAACATCGCATTGACTGATCAAGATGACTTTTATTTCTTATCATATTGATCTTCTATGCCTTGGACCTTTGATGAATTTGGGTTTACGTTCAGAGATAATTTTCTCACTACATTCGACTTTGATTCACAACTCTGATTCAAGCTGATAGGTAATTGATCCTACTCTCTAGAGAATCTACCATGATGCAAAGATTCTAAAACTCAACTAGCCCTGACGTCTAAATATATGTACCTTTCATCGCTGAAATACTTTGGGAAAAATCAAATTTCCAACACTTAATTCGATATGTCTTCTCTTTAAATTAGCATATGAATTATATTAGAGCTTAAAATTTTTCTCTTTGAAAATTCAATAATCAGTATGACATTTACGTCGATACGAGTATCCAATGTCATATATAGAGTTTCCTAGAATTTGGAAGTAAGCCTCGAATATCAATCAAGAATGATAGACATAGTAACCCTATGAATTCTGGAAATCTCAAAGATATACAATCTAACTAGCTTATTTAGAGATATTTTAAAGTAGAAGTTATTTTGACAAAAGAAATTAAAATATTGAGGGCTAAACTGCTCTAAAAAAATAATAAAGACCAAAATGATCAGTTAGACAAACATTGAGGACTAATTTTAACATTATGTCTTAATTTTTTTAAACGATTTTGAGTTAATATTGACTTTTTAAAAAAAGGTTTAGAGCAAAATTTAACTAAAAAGGTAATGACTAAATTAGCAATATATAAACATTAAGAGTTAAATTTATCAATATGCTTTTGAAATATCTATATTATATAAAATATAATTTACCTTATGTGAAGAATTGGTTATACACCAAATCAATTATTAATTTTATCATGCACAAATCAAGTTACTTCAGTGGTAAAAGAATGATTGTTATTTCTAGAGGTCTCAAGTTTAGCACCAGACACTGCACATGGTATTTGAGCGTTTATTGTCAAACGATTGAGAGTTTTTAAAACATATACCACAACTTGTAAGCATCCTAGATTAATAAAATATTATTAATTTTATCATACTTTATAATGATTAATTCCAATTTTTAATGATAATTCTTTGAAATATACATTATATGTAATTATGATTTTTTTAATAGTATGTGAAGATTATAAAGTAATAAATATTTAGAATCCTTATTAATATAGTTATTCGAATTCATTATCTCTAAGAATAACAACATATCCTTTAAACATTCAGATCACATATAAAAAGTGATAAGTACATAATTAATTATAGTTATATCTTCTTGTATTAAAAAGTGCTACCAACTAATCATTATTTTGGCCATAATGTGGCATAATTTAATATACAGTTTATTCTCATAAAAAAAGATATCAAGTAAAGTCCATTTAATTTTTTTTTTCACTTTCCCTTGTTGGGTTACATTATTTAAAGGATTAATTAATGAAATAAGTTAAAAAAAAAGGGAAAAGAAAAAAAGAAGAAGAGGATAGTGATGATTATGATGATGATTTTTGTTTTTTAGTTTATTGAAGTTGGAGAAATAGGGAAAAAGGAAGTGGGTCTCACACCTTTGTTATCGAAACAGAAAGTGTGAAAGAAAAAGAGATGAGAATGAAAATCTTATCAATGCCACACGAAATAAATGATGGCATCAAAGTAGAGACGGACCCTACCCTCATTATTTTCCTATCAATACTATTAAATAAATAAAATAAGAGGTAAATTATATGTCTAGTATCTAAATTATTTTTTTTATTTTAATATTTAAATTTTATTTTTTCAAAAAATAATACTTAATATTTAGTTTACGTTTCATTTTGGTACAATCGTTAAAAACTTAATGGTGACGTTGATGTGTCACCATAAGGTAATGTTATGTCATTAATGAAAAAAAAATACCACATTAATAATTATATTAATTTTTTTAACAGGGTACCAACTCGAAACCAACTAAACATTAGGTATAATTTTGAAGAAAAAAAGTATATGTACTAAAATGGAACAAAAGTAATAGTTTAAGTACTATATGTGTAGTTTACCCTAAAATAAAATATTGAAAAAATATTAGGATTTTCCCTGTTTGGGCCTTATATTTAATCAAGGCCCAATGTCATTCAATGCCTGCTTGTTCATCCTTTCTCTCATTATTTTCCAGTGATGCAAAAGCTCGCATATTTGTGCAGTGCAGATTTTCCCAATACCATTAATGGCTCTATTAACTACTGTATTAATTCTTATGACATCAACGCATCATTCTCTCTATCCTAAATTTATCACAGGGTCCGCCAAAATTCTCCTTTTTACTAATGGAATTATGCGAAAAAATGTGGCTTTTGGGACCACTATGAACCACTATATTTCTTTATGAACCTCCTGCAAGACTTGATACAAAGCCAAAGAGATACCTGAATTTGGTTAGACTAATGACCAAAGTATAATAAGTAGATTGAACAACAAGGAAATAAATAATTATAGAAAATGTTATTAGTGAAAAAGAATAAAATTACTGTTTTCACAGCGAATTTGGTCCCTCTCAACACCATCTTTCCGTTTGAATAAATTGAAGGACAACAGAACGATCAACAATAATTTGTGAAAAAAAAAGATCAATATAGTAGTCATTTGGACCTTTGATCCTCTAAGTGTAAATAGTTTCTTGGAATCTGCTCGACTTGGTTAAAATAAAATGGCTCCGTTTCACTCTCCGGACGTATCTTTTCTTACCTTTTACTTTGTTAAACCCGTAAACGAATTTTCAGACCTCCTCTGTCTCGGTGGAATCTGATAACTCCTGTTTATGTGATTTGTTGCTCGGGGCTGAATAAACCAGTCGTTCTTTTCCTCCCGGTTTGGAGGAGGCATTACCGTACCAGACCATTCCTGCAACTGCGATGACCATACCCAGAATTACGTGTAGGTTCAAACCTTCTTTCCCGAAGAAAATGAACCCTAACATCAGGACGAGAATAGTCTTCATATGGCCGAGCACTTGGAATGATACAGCTGTAAACCTGCCGATGCAGATGAACTGGCTGAGGTTTGTCCCGACCGCAATGGAGCATGACATGATTAAGAAAAACTGCATGCACAGAGTATCACAATATCATTTACACTGACTCAAGGCTACCTGCTAGCAAAGTCTATTGATTTTCATGTTATGTTGCACATGAACTATATCTGCAGATAAAACCGTTAAAAGGGGTAGCAACCGATATCAAGAACAATATAAAAGCACAATTGATAGAGACATAAAATAGCACCAACTTTGGCATTAGACCAAGACTTCTTAATTTCCTATTTAATATGCAGGTAATAACAGCCATACTTCAAACCATTTTGCATTGTGTGAACTAAAGGCATAACATGCAGTGCGTAATAGAATAAGATGCAATGACTTTATCAGCATGCATGCATGTGAAATGGAGCAGTACTATTATCGACTAAAATCTAGTTAATCCTGATAAGAACCATACCACTGATATCACATTGAAGTCATAGGCATAAACCTTTTTCTCTGTTAGCCAGTAGTCCACAAAAGGGCCAACTAACAGTAGGCTTGCAGCTTGAACTGGAGCAGTGTGTCCCAACAAGTCGAAAGATCCTAAAGAATGCTTACGTTGAAGAAAATGTACGTACTGCAATAATAAATAAGTAAAACAACGAAAGACAAAAAATTTCAGTCCGTAAAACAAGATTACGCATGGCATGTGCCACATTTATAGAATGGATTAAGCCAAGACATGCATTCTGAACCTTGTTTAATTGAAAAGTTATGTGACACTACTGTCCAAATTTTCTTCCAACAAATTGCGTCTTAGGTAAAATCAGGATACTAGTACAGATTTACTTACATACTGTTGGAGGGCTGTGCTCCAGACTGCTATTACAGCAGCTAAAAAACCCTTGAAATTGACACTCACATCTGTAACAGTACAGACAGCAACTCCAAAGAGAACAAGCAGTATGCTAAGCTTTGTATCTCTTGAGTAGCGGACTTTGTCAAAAACAACTTCCAAAAAGCACGATACTGGAATCATGCTAAGCTTTGCTATCTGAGAATAATTTTTAAACAAACAAATGTAACATAACTTCAACCAGATCATACATAGTAGATAATAGCCTAGTTGCAGAAACTGACCTGATAGAAGCCCACAGAATTCCACATCAAACTCACATTCATTCCAACAATAGAAAAGTTTGCAAACAAGACAAATTTGAGAAGTTCGGGTAATGGCAGATGCGATCCCTTAATGTAACCCAGCCATCTAAGAAGAACCGTCAACAAGGTTGTGGTGGCAAAATGCAAACCAGTTAATGTTGTAGCTGCACCCAAGTAAAAATGGTACACAATCAGGGTTGTTGGAAAGGTAAAAATTTCTTAACATTGACTTCAGAATTTATATGGTCAAAACATGCTATTTTTCGTATGCAAGGAATTTTTTGGTATTTAAGGAAATTGAGCAAGACAATGGGAGGAAGCTCTCACTCATCCCACAAATCTCACCCTGCCCATTCAAGGATTTGAACCCTTCCAATTTGGGTCTTTCAAACAGAAGCTGATAAAGAAAATAATGCTAATGATAGATAACTTCTTTGTTTATCCAACTTTAAAAGTGTTGTTTACTTCTTAGCCCTTCAGCCATTCATAATTGCTCTCCCTTTTAGACTTAGACGACCATATGCAGTCGTATCCGTGTACCAACAAGTGATTGATCCATTAGACATGTAATGCAAAGGCAAAGTTTATCAAAGTTTACAGATAAAATGTTCATTCGAAACATACCAAAACTGAAGCCATACGTAGCCATTAAGGCTTTATTGACCATGATTATACCCACAGATGTGACAACATTGAAGAACCATGAGGCCACATCAAGTGCTGCCTTCCTATCAGCCTTGCTTACAGAGGACATTATTAACTACAGTCTCCAATTAATCAAGCAATCTTTGTTTCTCAATTTTCATGGGAGCAAAAACAAAGCTCGGGAGTCAAAAAACCAGCAGCTATACCTGAATCAACAAATTATTTGGAAAATCAAAAGGTTAAAGAAGAACAAACAAGCATCCGCATGTAATAAAGACAATGAAGAAAGTTCCTTATTTCAGAAACAATAATAACTGTGAAATAAAATAGAAGCATACAATTGCAATGCATATATTTTAACACAGTTATAGGAAAGTAACAATTTTTTAGGAAGAGATAACATATACAATGATCTCTTACAAGTCTTGAGAGCCCGAGATCTGTTTGGAAACCTTCATTAAACGAGAAGATTTGGAAATTAAATTCAATTTTATAGTCTGAAAATGATTTAAAGAAGCTGGATTTGATTTTTGACAGAGTACTAAAAAATTTGAAAGGGCCGAGGCTAAATTTAATATTTCAGCATCTACTCATTGAGATTGATATTCGTTACATCCAATCAGAATAGAACGCGAACTACAAAAAATTCTGCAGTAAATAGTTTCAAATCAAGAATATCAAGCTAGTCAAAATTTTGACATGATTCAAAATCCAGATCCTATTAAGAATTTTAATAGCAACCAAATATATCTTGCAACAATGAATAACTAGTAATTATGGCATTAAAACCTCGGCAGCAACAGACAAAATAATTAATGAATTAGGCATCCTCATTGCTTTTCCCCCATTAATCAAACGGTTTTTATTTATTTGGGCACACATTATCTGCTCTACTTTTTTATGTAAAAAAAATAATAAAGAACGGGATCAAACGTTGAAACCTTTCAAGCTGCAAAAATTTGAAATGCTTGCAAAGATCTACAATAATAAGAGTTGATACTATATTCTTCAGCTGGAAAAGCGCTAAAAATTTAAAATGTAAGCATCCACCAAAACTCAACGATATTGGATCATAAAAAAATAAAAAGGAAAACAGTTTTCTATTTCTCAGCTCATCCATCATCTTTAACGTTTTCTTAATAACGCTTCATTTCTCAAAGAGAACAGAAATCACAAGCAATTTCAACCCCAAAGTTAGAGAATTAAGAGGAAAAAAGTCTAATTAATCGGATTAACAATGCATTAATCAGAAATATAATATATAAAAAAAGATGGAATCGAAACATACTTAGAAAAGAAAAAGATCTTCTGGAGAAAAACTTGCAAGAAATTAGGCGAAAGAAAATAGATTTAACGAACCTGGCGGAACACGAATAAGAGGAGTAAAAGAGGAGAGTCCAAATAAGGTCCCCCCCCTGATTTGCGCAGTTTTTAAAGGAGAAAGGAGGGAGATAAATGTCTTTACAGTTATATTTTGATATGAAATTTGTGTAGCCAATAAGAAAACAAAGGAAATAAATAGAGGGAGAATAAACAAAATTATTATTTTCATATTAAATACCTTTTATGTCCATTGTTATTTGAGATTAGAACCTTGCATAAATGTGTTTATTCCCTCGCCTAGTCCTTTTCCTTTCACTTATGATGAAAATGAAGGGAAATGATGGATTACTATAATTTGATGATGGGTTTTCCATTTGGTAATTATGTTGAGAGTAGTGAAAATTCTCTAAATTCACATGTAACATGATAAAATGGTAAATTACAGCATTGGTTCTTTTTGTTTTGATCATCGATTTTAAAAAAGTTATGCTCCGGTTACTTTTATTTTTCGAACAACCATTATCACTACCTCCTCTTTTAGACTGAGGGCATGGTTGTTCTTTTCCCTGGCGTCTCTGCCACCATCTTCCGCTAGACTCTCTATTCCACCATCGGCATGGCCCATGGGACTCAATGCCATCATCAAACAAAAGTAGACCAACGAGACGAAAATCATGCCTCTCCAATCAAAATCGCCACCATGCTAAAATAAGTGTTATAAGAGCATAAAAAATATATTACAAAAAATAGATAAAAAATATTATTATTTATATTAGAAAAATAAAAAATATCAAACAAAATAATATAATTTGATTAGTTGCAATGATAAACGAAGAAAAGAAGAAGAAAGAAAGAAAGAAAGAAAGAAAGAGGTGTATAATCCAATTGAAAAAATATCAAAGGAGAAGCCCCTTTTCATCCTGAACATAGCAGAGCAGGCAACTTAAGTTGTAATTGAGTTGAGCTGCACATCAATAGATATTTAAATTCGAAAATCAACTCAAATTTTATCAAGTTCTATTTTAAAACTCGATATTAATCTGAAAAAGGCATTAAGTAATTTGAGTCCATTTGATTGGATTTAATTTTTCACTGGTTCCTCATTTCGTGCTGTATCCGATTATATAAACCTTTCTTCTCTCTTTTCCCCCTTTTCTATGGCAGCATGATGAACCGAGGGAGTGTTGTATGATACAGTCATACCTCTTAAAAATTTCAAATTCCTTTATATTTGAAATTTTTTTCTTTGTATTTTCTATTAATTATATAATTTCGCACCCGTTAAATTTTTATAACTTAACATCTTAAAATTTTTAATATAATTTTTTAAGTCCGTGCTCCCTAATATAAATTTCTGTATTTATTTATGTAACGCGAGATACTCTTTTTCAGTGGATTCTAAGGCAGCAAGAAGAAGGATTGGAGATGAAGACAGCTGATATAGTTACTTATTTGCAAGTATCTTATGTGATTTCCTTCTCTTGTGAATTTGTTTGGAATTATTTTTGTTTGGAGGTGCTCCCTTTCTACTCATTTTTATGTATTTTTCTCAATTTCATACAAGTACAACTTTAATTTTGGAATTGTTTTAAAAACATAATTTTTTATTTTAAAAACCCATCCACCTGTTGGGGTAATGTGCTCGATTTTTATTAAAATCAACTTATTTTTAATTAAAATTTGTTTTAATTTTTTATAAATCCCACCCACATGTTGCCTTTAAATGTGTTCTATTTTTATAAAAAGATAATTCTTTTAAGTTAAATTATTTGTTTTTAAATTAAAATTTTATTTAATATTTTATCATATTTTTCTAAATATGAATTATAGATTAAGTTAAATATAATACTTTTTTAAGAAAGTGTCAAATAATGAACCTAATTTTGTGATTAATGCATGCCAAGATCCTATTTCTTTGTTAATAATATGCCAAATATTGAGCTTGGTTAAGTAATTAAGGTTTTCTTATTTCTCATCTCATGCTCGGGTCTAGTTTTTATCATTATCATTATCATTCCATTTTATTTCATTTTTCCATTTTATTTCATTTTCTTTAATAAGATGATGACACATATAAATAAAAATAATCAAATATGTAATTATATAAATTTACTTAACTGATACATTAGTATTTCCTTTAATTTTTAACTATTAGTGACTTGATTAATATTGTCATAACCATTTTTTTTAAAAAACAATTAAGTTTTTTAAAAAAAATTATGACTTTTATTTGGAAAAATTGACGATTTTGAATTGGTTTGAATTAAATAGAATATGAGTCGCCATCGACCTTTGGGCTAGGTAAGTCGAATACCTAAAAACATATTTTTAAAAAAAATGTTTTGTAAGATAAAAATTGATATGTGTTGTACGAAAATTCATTTTAAGGGTTCGGAAGTCGATTACGTGTGAGGAATGATAAAACCCCCGCACAATGCCCAAAAATTGGTACTTAGTCGCTTATATATTGTCGTGGTAATGAAAATTATAAATCAAATATAAAGTAAAAATACGATCTATTTATTAAAGTTTAATCAAATTGCTTCGAATTATATTTTAGGGAAAATCTTTTAATTCGAAAAGAAATATCGAGATTTGCTCATCCTCCGACGGGATGCCTATCTCTTCTATTTCTTGTCTAAAAAGAATATTACCTCCTTGAAAAAAAATGTAAATCTAATATAAATTGAATATCGACATTTGCATAAAATAAAATATTAAAAAAACATGCATTGCGTAATTTGAATTAGAAATAAAAATTTAATTAGTAAAATAAATTTGATTTATTTCAAGTTCACATTTTCGTTCGAATGTCATATCAGATCGCACTACTTCGACCAAACAATGCTTTCCACGCCCATTCTACAAATAAGTGTTCTTGAAAATATTAGAGTAAAAAAAACGTTAAAAATGAATGAAACAAACGTTTTGTACAATCGTTTGTAACCAATTCCCAAGAGCCAAGAATATATACATACATAAATAATATGAATAAATATATAATATCCATACATGGTAAAAATGAAAGAAAATAAAATCTAACTAAGCAAAAATTAAATTATAGAAGTAAAATAAACAGATAATAAAGCACAATAATTAAACGAATAAATTAAGGTATTGAAAAATAAAGAGACGAAATAAAATATTAGAACATAAAATAAAATAAAATATAAATAATGAAATTAAATAAAGAAAATAAAAAACTTAAACTTAAAAGTGCATAAAATTAAATAGCATAAATAAAATGCAATAAAAATAAAATGTTAATATCGAATTTTATTATGTATCCCGTACCATAAATGATGCGAGTAATACCCCGGGGCAAATTCTCGCAAGGTCGTACATGGTTCAAACATGAAATAAAACAAACAAATAAATAAATGTTAACAATTAGTAATTAGCGGTTAGAAAAGTTAGTTGTTAAAAGTTATCGGTTAGCAGAGTCTGAACCATAATAATACGGATCATACCCCGGATCGGGTCTCCACAAGGACGAATCGAATATTAGAAACAATAAATAAATAAATAAATAACAATGGTTAAAGTGCAATAAAATAAAAGTTAGTAATTAGCAGAGTCTGAACCATAATAATACGGATTATACCCCGGATCTGGTCACCACAAGGTCGAATAGAATAATAGAAACAATAAATAAATAAACAATGGTTAGAATGTAATAAAATAAAAGTTAGTAGTTAGCAAAGTCCGAACCATAATAATGTGGATCATACCTCAAATATGGTCACCACAAGGTCAAATCGAATAATAGAAACAATAAATAAATAAACAATGGTTAGAATGTAATAAAATAAAAGTCAGTAGTTAATATGCAATAAAATAAAGTTAGTAGTTAAAAATAAATAACATAGCAGAATAGTGACCAAATTAAAAATTAATAAAATTTGCATGCATATTCAAAATAAATAGAAAATGAGTGACTTGAGTGCCAAAGAATTAAAATATAGGGGACTTAAAGGTGATTTCCCTCGATATTGACCAAAGTGTAAAACAAACAGAAGCCGGGAGCACCTGTGGGTGATTTGCCCACTGAATAGGTGACTAAAATGCAAATAAAAGACTAAAACTTGGGGAACTATGTGTAATTTACCCAAAAGCATAAAATAGAAACTTTCTTCCTCATTTTTTCTCTGCACGCACAACACCCTTTTCAGGGCCCCAAATCGAACGCCGACCATCACAAACCGGCCCTTGCATGCTAGCCACCAGGCCGGTGATCCTCATACTAAAATCAGTGACCTCGACCGCGACCTAATGAGGACTGATCGAATGACTTCAACCTATTTTTTAACCGACCGAGAAGCTCCCAAAGCTTCATATACATAACCAACCACCGCGCCTGTAACAACCCGGAATAAAATTTGGAAAAAAAACTATTAATTAAGTAATTTGGCAAAATTTGAGGATTTAATCGGAAGTTTTCAAAATTTTAGGCCATTTTAGAAGTTAAAGGAAATTCAGGGACTAAGCCCTGAATTTAACCAAAGAGTGTCGGCAGGTTATGTGGTTTTATACATGCACTGCGTTTCTGATTTTAAAATCAGAAACTTTTGTAAACAAAATTCCTCCTCTCGCACCCTTCTTGCAAGTCTGATCCCGACGCCGTTCGACATCCGATCGTCAAATTGAAACCACCATCGTGTTCATCTTCGACTCGTGAACAAAGCCCAATAAACCAATTTTAGTGAAACGCTACCAAACGCCGTGAATTTCGAGTCAAAGTATCGACGTTTTTTTAGCACCACCGCCGGGAAAATCTTAAATTCATCTCCAATCGTTGATCGGTTTTCGACACCTCCTGCACCATCGTGTTCCTTGTGTCGTTTCGAGTCCGCCGGTGTCAACCTTGTTCGCCGTCGACGGCGGCGCGTGAGGAGGTGGAGCAGTCAAAGATTCGACCGAGTTGAAATCGAGCTCTCCACCGTTCAAAAATTTGAACCGATCTTTGTAAGTATCTAGAAATCGCTTAAAATAAATTTTAGAAATTTTTCCAGAATTTTTAGACCCCCGGAGGAGGCCTCACACACCGCCGCAGGGAGAGTGGAGGGCTGGAAACCGGTTTGACCGGTTTTCAACCGG